TCGCTGACAAGGATTGCCCGAGGACGGCAAATTGAATGGGTTCCATAACTGATCCCGACTGCGGCCCAAGCGCAGGGGACGTGGCCGAGTACCCCTCATTCGAGAATTTCGAATGCACGGATTTTTTTTCCCCGCGCTCATGCTGGCGGCCTCGACGAGATGCAGGCGCGCGCCGGCGGGGCTGCCCCTTCGACTTTCCGGACGATCTACCCGGCGACGTTGATGCCGCAGTTGTTGCGCTAAACAATCTGCTCGATATTGAGCGCGAAAGCGCGCAGAACACCTTCTCGCTTGATCTCTTTGTGGGACTGGCTGGTGAGATAGATCCCCCACGTGCTGAGTGGGATGTGGGTGTACGTCCCTGCCGCGTCGCACCCGCGTCCTCCTCGCGCGTGCGCGCACGCCCCCCCCCCTCCTCTCTCTTCCTCTCCCCCATTCCTCTCTCGCCTCACCCACGCGCAACCATGCTCGGCGCGCGCGAGGCGCGAGTCTACATGCAGCCGCGCGCGCGCACGCGCTCGCAGACACGCACACACACACACACACATTAAGAATGCCATTGCACTCCTGGCGCGTTCACTGCACCATGCACCCACGACGCATGCGCCACACTGGGCACCCGCACGGGACACGTATCCAGATGCAGCCGCAAACGCATCATACACATGAGACATACTGAGCACCCGCATGAGACACACGTCCAGAAACAGCGGCACACGCATCATACACATCGCGCGCACGCATCATACACACCACGCAAAGTGTGGCAGGGGTGTCATCTTCTCGACGCCACAGGGGGCGTGCCGGGGATGGGGCCCTCATCCGTCGCACGCTCGCAAAGTGCGGCAGGGGCGGCATTTTTCCGACGCCACTGGGGCGTGTTGGAGTTAGGACACTCGTCCGCCGCGCGCTCGCAAAGTGCGGCAGGGGCGGCATCTTCTCGACGCCGCAAGGGGTGTTCCGGGGGGGAAGGGGGGGGCCTCATCCATCGCACGCTCGCAAAGTGCGGCACGAGTGGCGTTTCCTCGACGCCACAGGAGTCGCGTTGGGGGTGGGGCCCTCGTCCGCCGCGCGCTCGTGAAAGCGCAGCAGGAGGCTGCATTTTCTCGACGCAACAGGGGGCGCGCTGGGCGTGGGGCCCTTATCCGCCGCAAGCTCGCAGAGCGCGGCAGGCGCGGCATCTGCGGGTCGCCACAAGGGGCGCGCAGGGGGTGATCCCCCACCGCGGCCCCGTGCGTTGCAGGCCCCCAGGGCGCGGCAGGCGCGACACTTCCTCGACCCCACAAGGGGCGCGCTGGGGGTGGGGGCGCCATGCGTTGCAGGCTCGCAGGGGGCGGAATTTTCCTCGGCGCCACAGGGGGCGCGCTGGGGGGGGAGGGGTGCGCTCTCCGCCCTGGTCGCCCACGGCGCACCAGGCGCGGCACTTCCTCGATCACATAGCATCGCCCGCGCACGTTGCGCGTCAGCAATGCAAGGGCAAGAGCTCGCACGAAGCACGTGGGCCCCCTCGGTTGCATCAGTGTAGCGCGACGCCTCGCGAGGTAATCGCTCTGTTCCACTCAGAGAGGGGGGGGCATGGAAATTGGACAAACGGCCCCAGTTAGCGACATTTGAGACGACGGCGCACTCAGTGAACGAGCAACTGAGGAGATCAACCGACTTGAGCGCGAGGAAAGCACCGTCCGCCGCCGCGCTCGTTAGAGAGGGCCACGGCGGCAAGCGCCGGTCGTTGCCCTCCGGATCCGTCGCCGAGCTACGGCCGCGCGCCCCGCGGCCCCGCTCGGAAACGAGCACCCCCCCCCCTCCCCCGACAAGGCCGCGCGCCCCGCGGCCCCGCTCGGAATCGAGCCCCCCCCTTCCCCCCCCCCCCCCCGCCCCCGACAACGCATGGGAACCCGCGCGCCCCCCGCGCGTCGACGCCGCGAAAGTTTCAACGCGCTTCGCGTTTCCACCACGACCAGTCCGCAAACCCGAGCTGACGAAGGGCCCGCTTCTATTTCCGAGACAGTCCCGCGCGGGAGGGCCATGGCGACATCGCACCAAAAGGGCATCGAATTCCAGTTTTCGGCGAGACTGCTGCGAGGGGGCGCATTTTCAAAATCGAGCCCGAAAGGCTCCGAATTCTGATTCGGGGGAAGACCTGAGCGGGAGCGCCATTTCGACATCGAACCAGCAAGTTCCGACATCTTTCGAAGCTGTTCCTGAAGGCAGTCTCGAGCGAAACAGTCGTCGCGACGTGGCCACGCCCCGCGGCACTGGGAATTTCTTAAATTTGCGATCACATGTCGAGAATGCGCAGCTGTCGCTGGAGACCCCCCCCAGAAGGCGATCTCGATTGGATTTCGAAATCGAAGGATTCGAACTCGCAGGGGCGACCCCGCCCGAGACCCTAGCAAAACAATGTTCGAACTTAGCATTGTGTTAGGGCCCAGCGGCCTAATGGGCCTCTTTGACGTTTCCTCTCCCGTCGAGGGCGCAACGCCACTGACGGCGCTCTGCCAGGGCCCCGTCGACTCGCGGGAGGCGTCGCATTCTGGCCGAGTCACCCCCTGCAGTTGGCGCAGACGTGGGCCCCGGCTGCCATGGGCGCAAGCGTCCGCGCGGATCACGCCCCGATGGGTCGCGTCGAGTCAGTTCCCGGGGGCTGCGAGACTGAGGGGCAGCTCGCGCTCGGGCGTCGGGGAGGCACTGGAAGCTGGCAGCGCGCCCCCAGCAATGCAGATGAGATGCGTCGCAGGGCCACGGCAGGCCCGCCGGGCCAGCAGCTCGGAGACGAGCCGGAACCAGCGCCAGGCGCTGAATCTTTTTACGATGACCATGGGGGCCAGTAGTGGGATCGGACGGAGATGAACTGGGCCTCGACGAAGACGAGGCCGCTAGATTCACGGTTTGCGACGACGACGGTCCCGATTCCAGCCGCGGGCAGATATGGCCGCGCAGATCGCTGCGACGGCCCCCCGACCCCACTTGCGCCGTCACCTCCCCGAGAGGAGCGCAGGAGAGAGCGCCCCACCATGCGCTTGCGGCAGTTGAGTTGCACGGCGGCAAGCTGCCCGCGACGGGGCGGCCCGCGACGTCGACCAGGCCGCCGCTTAGCCCCTGGCGCCGGCCACCTGTCGCACCGCGACCAGCTCGGTCGCGCCACGCAGGGCTCGGGTCAGAGACGCGACGCTGGGGCACAGGTTGGTCGAAGGGACCTCCGCCGCCGCGTCAATCTACGCAGCGACAGCGGGCGGCGCTGCCCATGCAAAGCACATTGGCAACAGCGCCGACCAGGGCGCCCAGCTGGGCGTGATTCTCCGTGCGCAAACTGGGGCCTCATCCCAGCTTAGTCAGGTGACCCTCCGTTGGTACCGTTAACGCAAGACGATATAAACGAGGCATTGCGGTGCCTGGGCTGGCCGACCCCCGGGGGGGCCGCCGGCCCCGCAGTCGCAGCCGCTGCCCCGACGGGCCGCAGTTCAGTCGCAGCTGTGTCAGCTGCAGATGCGAGGGAACATGCCTTTACCGCATGGCGGCCGAAGACGCGGGGGCCACGGAACTGGCCAAGGCGACAGAGCGCCTTCGGGGCGACCGGGGCGCTCGGAAACAAGCCGACCGGATTCGCAGCCGGGGGCGCGGCGACGCTGGATTGTCGTCGAGTTTTTCGGGCCCCCAGACAGGGGTTTGAGTCCGGCGCGACGCGTGTCCGACACCTTTGGTTCATTCGACGTCTAACGATATCGCAGTCGGCAGCTGACCCTTCTACACGCATCGCGCGACGAGCCGGAGAACGCAGCATGGGGGGCCAGCGACGGCAAGACACCGCGGCGCGAGCCACGTCCGTCTTCGAGAGGTTCACGGGCTCCAGAGAGCGCTCGCGAACGAGCGGGCAGCACGAGCCAGGGCGGCGACCTCGGCGCGAGGTCGGGGGACGGCGGCAAACCCCAATCTCGCTGGTCGAACTGCGCCACTACTTCCCGACGGGATGGCATCTGGCGGGGCGAGCTCGAGGAGCCAGCCTCAGGACTCTATGAACTGCACCGGGAAGAAGCAGCCGAAGTGTGCTCCGAGCGTTGGGGACCTTGGCGAAGGAGTTTGCGGCGGCTGGCTTCGCGCCGAAGCCTAGTTCGCAAGTGGCGGTGCAGTGGGTGCGCCCCGGCGTTTCGTAGCTCCTGGGCACGCCCCCTGGGCGGCGCGGCACTGGGGAGGTCGACGACCCCCAGGTCGCCCAAGCCGCCGCCGCCCCTCGAGCTTAGCGAGCTGATCCATGCCAGCGCGCCCCCGCCACCACAGCGGGGAGACCAACCTGCAGGGGCCGCCCAGCCAGCCCCGCCAACGCCGCCAGCCACGCCCATGCCAGAGGCGCCACAGCCACCTCCGCCGAGCAAACTGCGCGGAAATGCGCCTACAGCCGCATCGGTGGCAGCGGCCATTGTCCGCGATCCCCAGGTCCGCATCAACGCGCCACCACCTGGCCGCCACAGCGGCGCGGCGGAGGAATCACGCTGGGGGCCGCCACAGACGCCCGCAACTGAGAACGACGCATCTCATGCGTCTTGCTGCCCCCAGGTCATCGCAGATCGGTCGGTTTTGAGGCGAGCCGCCCCCGCGCGATCCGCCCACTAGCGCCCGTGACAGAGGCGGCCGGCCTCCTGCTACCCATACGAGATGCGGAGCAAGTGTCCAAGGCGTTCTGCATGTTGTGTCGACGCGCACCCGAATCACCGACATGTCCACCCCGCCGTTTGCTTCGACGACTTCGACGGACGGTTCGAGGTGAGTGACGGCCTACATAACAAACGCTGGGGTCCACGGGGGCAGAGTGTTGCCCCGCAGTTGTTTGGCGAGGCCGTGGCGGGAGGGTGCTCGGCACTTCTGCCCACCGCGCGCAGCGCGCCGAACATTATATGGCGGCCACCTCAGCTCGGAAAAGAGCCATGAAAAGGATCGGTTCAAGTTGAAAGAAGCCCACTCGAGATGACGGAACCGAGCGTTTTGTCGCGCCCGCGTCCAGCACCATGCGTGAGAAGGTCAAGGCACCGCGCGGCCTCTTCACAGAGGTTGCCCTGGACAACCTGGCCACCTGCCACTCGCGTAAAACATATTGGGCGCACTCGCAGAGCATCATGACCAATGGTCTCAGCAAGGGCACGCGCATTTATAAACGCATGGTCCCCTACGACATCGACACCAGATTCAGACTGGGCGCGGGAAGTCAGACATGGTCGATCACATTGCTCTGCATGCTGTTATGACAGAAGCCAGTGTAAAGTTTCGACTCTCGTATAATGACGCGCTCCAGTCCGGGGCCGTCCGTTGCACCGTTCGGCCAAAGTGCCTCCGCAAGGCCATGGGCCTGGAAGCGGCCGCACTCACGAAAACTCGACACCGATAGAGACGCTGGACGACCCATCCTGTTAGCAAGCATTGGAATGCGAGCGACGACCTGGAACAGTTCCCACCATCGACCGTCACGACGGCCAAGATGGAAGGTTCCCAGGACAATTGCAGGGGATGTGGACAACGCACCAACAGGTTTTTGATTACCGCAGAGAAAAGCAACCGCCCCCCGAGCCGTCGCAGTCACGGCGGAAGCGAGGCCAGCGCGGGAGCGCGCCTCATCCGCAGACCTACTACGACAGCCGAGCCAGACACCCCTGGGCGAGTCCGACGCAGCAGGTGATTTCAGGCACGGCGCCCGAGGTCGTTCAAAACTTGGCCAGCACGGTGCGTCGCCGCGGCCCAGGGGGCGCGGCGGCGAGCGCAATGGCAGCTGCGCGGCCCCGGCAGCCACCGCAGCAAGGAAAGCTGCCGACAGCACCCCCGCACCGCGCACGCTCGCCCCGCGGCCTCCGTCCGTCTGCAGCAGGCAGCGCCGGCTTTGAGCTTTTGAAAAGCAGCCGGGCTTTCTGCGGGTCGCGCACCTCCATCGGAGGAGAATCTGTCGACAAGGCTCGCAGCCCTGCGCGGCATCACCCAAGGTGCCGAGCTGCTCGCAAGGTCACCCGCGAGTGCTCCATCCACGCCGGGTTCGCACGGCAACGCGCCTGGATGCATAGGCGCCCGCCGGGATAATCGCCGCTCGGGGGCGAACCTTACTTGGCAGAAATTGTTGTTCGTTTTCAGCAAAGCGACCAGAGTGCGTCAGCGGAGGAAACTCTTGATGCCCGGTGTTGGGGCTTGTTGGCTTCCCAATCGAGTCCGAAGTTCGGAGCATGAGTTTGTTTGTGGGATCATTCTTCTTCGGGCCTCGGTCGTCTCTGGTGGCTACAGACATTGCCCGCTCAGCATATTTCAAGCCGTTTTGCCTGGCGCGCTGAATGTTGGTGCGCATTTTGGGCATTCACAAGACAGCGGAATGTTGCGTTGTTTCTCTTCTCCTCGACTTTCAAAGGAGGCGCCCGGGGGAGAGCGTGACAGCACGTTGGCAGGGCGGCACGTTGCCAGGGCGGCGATCGACGGCATCTTCTGGGCCCCAGGGCTGAGACCCTTCCGCGCCGCCTTGTTCGGGCGGGTGGGTACCCGAATCCGCTGGGTCGTCGCGCTCCATCGCGCTCGTGCGCGCTCGCCCTCTTGAGGCTCTTTCCGAGGCCCGCATGGCTCTCTTTCTCTCTCTCTCTCTCTCTCTCTCTCTCTTTCTCTCATTCTCTCTTTCTCTCCCCTCTCTTTCTTCCTGGGGCCTTCCTGGGGCTCTCTCGGGGGCCTTCCCCAGGGGCCTCCTGGGGCTCTCTCGAGGGGGGGCCCTCCTGGAGTTAGCTGGTTGCTCCCACGCAGGCCTTGTCTGGGGGCACGCTGGCGGCACGTTTGGACCACCTCGCTCCCCCCCCCCCCGGGTGCCCGCAGCCGGGCGCGGGGGGGGCGCCCAAGCTTTGTTTTCTCATTGCGCTTCGGTCGTTTTGAAGCCGTGTTGGGACGACCCCACTCCAATGGCTTCAGCATCGGGAGGGGAGAATCACAGACACACACACACACACACATACAGAATCAGTCGTCGATCCTTTCGAAGAGGTGGGAAAATAAGGGAAGGGGAGGGGGACGAAAACACAAGAAATCTTGGCTGCATTTCCCCATCCCTTCGCCTGCGCCTTTGGGGGGCGGCGAGAGCTCGCCGCCGCGCGCGCGAAGGGCCTCTCCAGGCCCGCTCGGAGCGCCGGCGCCCTCGAACTGCGCGCGCTGGCTGCCAAGACCTTTCTGAGTGAAGCGATGCAGAGAGGGAGAGAGAAAAAAAAAAAAAAAAAAAAAAAAAACGCCGTGCATGTCAGAGGTGCATGGGCGGGAAAACTGGCGCCGACGCGACGGCAGCCGAGCGCCGTGAAACACTTCGAACACCCCATCGTCGCCAACTCTGTGGGCAGGGCGTTTCTGAAAACTTGTATGTGCACACATCCCCATTCGCAACGAGGCCCTCCCAAGGTGGACGACCCGGGGGAGCAACGGCAGCAGGAGGCAGAGGAGGAAACGACGCCCGGAATTGGGACAAGCCCGGAGCCGAGGCACGGGCAGCTGACGAAAACAAGAAACAGATTTGCGGGTGCCTGCGAGAAACTTCTCGTCGCCGCGGCTGGGTTCTGGCCAGGACAACCCCCTCAGGACAGGCACTGGGCTACGAGCTGAGGACTAGCGCCCACACCTGTGCGTGCGACCCCTAGATCTTCTCGGCGTGGAATTCCGTGGGGAGCGATTAGCGTGCGTTGTCGGATAGAGATCTTCGTTCGAACGGGAGCCCCCCTGCGGTCCGACGGCTCGCACCCAAATCTAAATCACCTTCATCTCGTTGCCCTTCCATGGTCATCCTCCCTTGGGGCTTGAGTGCGTGATGTTCTTTCTTCATTGGGGGCGTATATCTTGAGGCCCAAGACCCAAGCCTCGTGCGGCACGAGAAGATCAAGCCGACCGATGCTTTCCTCGGTTCGGGCCGCTGGATGTCCAGCCTCGGGCCCCGTTGGCCGTCAGATGATGTAAACGCCAAAAGTCGGAAATGTCATCATTCGCTTGCCGAAGGTCGTCATCTGTCCTGGTGGCGTGTCCGAAGATTGAGTCCGACACCGATCGCGGTGGGGATGGAGGCGTCGCGGGTGATTGAATCGTTGGGTGCAGCCGTCAGGGATTTTGTTTGGGCGGCCCGCCGGTGGGCCCCACCGTCAGCCCAAATTGCAAACACACCTGTGGAAACCGTGACGGCCAAACACGGCGGGTTCCGTCGGTTTCCCCTTCTTTGCGCCACAAATTGCGTCATCCATGGGTTGTGTCACCCATGGGCGGCGCCATCGCCATCCAGCGGTTGCACGACAGGTTGCGCCGTCCATGGGTTAGGCTGCAACATGGGTTGCGCCATCCGCTGGTTGCGCCACAAGGCTGCGCCACCCGTGGGTTGCGCCATTGGCGGCGCGATCCAACGGTTGCGCTATCGGTTGCGCCGTCTCCCACGCGGACGGCGACGGCGACGGCGACGACGGCGATGGCGACGACGACGACCACCACCACCACCACCACCACGACGACGACGACGAGGACGACGACGACGACGAGGACGACGACGACGACGACGACGACGACGACGACGACGACGACGAGGGCGCAGGGGCCGTCTCCAGGGCCGCCGCGGCTCGAAGGCCGCCGCGCTCCGCCGCGGGCGGGCGGGCCCGGCCCCCCCGGGGGGATGCCGGCCACGGACCCCGCCAGGCAGGGCCGCCTACGATCCGATTCGATGCGATTCGATGCGCTGGCTGGGTTTTATTCACTTTATTCGATTCGATGCGATTCGATGTGATTCGATGTGATCGGTTCCATCGATGTGATTCGATGTGCTTCGATGCGATCAATGTGATTAGATGTAATTCGGTTCCGGTTCTGATTTGATCACGGACATCGGCCAGGGCCAGCCGGAAGCGGGGCGCGGCGACTCGATGCCGATCCGATTCGAGACGAGTCGTTGGCGGTTCGATCCGCTGTCGATGCGATCCGAATTTGCGATCCGATCCAGCGCAGACCCCGCCAGGGGCCGCACGAGGACGCCCCTCGGCAGGCGGCGGGCGCACGACTTCAGCCCGCCGTGGGGCCGTCAAGGGAGGAAAACCGCCACCCAGACCCCGACAGCCCCTGAGATTCCGAGGAGGAAAAGGTACCCATACATCTATCCTCCCCTCGTTTTCCCTTTTTGTTGGGCCTCCTGGGCCTCCGTCGTCGCCACCGCTGGATTCGTCTCAAAATCTTGGTCAGAACGCACCCCAGGAGAGGTCCAGGGAGTGGTATTGGTACCACCTGGTTTTTCCCTAGAGATCCTGGCGTTGCCATTTTTTTACCACCGGCGGTTGCGCTCAATTTCGGGCCCTGGGACCCTCACAGATCGATCCGGCTCGAGACATGGCGCGAAAAAAAAGTGGAATCTAGGGCCCCCGGCATAATTTTTACGATGCTGTACAGTGGAGGCCCATGCAAAGAAACACCCTGCTTGCCTCCAGGGTGCCCTGGGTTTCTCGAGTTTCGATGGTTTGTGGTGGAAAGCGTGACGTTCCCGCACCAAAAATCCATGGACCTCCTGGGGTCTCAGGGTTGGGTTTCTTGTGGAAGGTTTCTTTGGGTCGAGCCCCTACTGTAGGGCTCCTGGCGTGATTTTTACGATGTCGCATCCTTTTGCAACGTCGGATCTCGGGGACTGGCGCTTCCTGAACGGCCCTGGGCATGTACCTAAACAGCCCTGCCCTGCTCGACGCCTTGCGTGGGTGCGTTTACTACTGGACGGCGTCGCTCGTCGGGAGACTTCAGCTGGGCGGGGGGGGGGCCTGCCCTTCTTACAGTGGCCGCCCGTGCCAAGAAGCACCCTGCTTGCCTCCAGGGTGCCCTGGGTTTCTTGAGTGTCGGCGGTTTTGCGATGGAAAGCGTGAAGTCCCCACGCCGAAAATCAATGGACGTCCTGGGGTCTCAGGCTTGGGTTTCTTGTGGAACGTTTCTTGTGGTCGGGCCCCCACTGCAATCGCTTCGCTCACTCCGCGGGCCCGTACTGCGCCATCGCAGGCGTTTGCCTGCGCGTGGCCTCCGGGGGGCCTCTTGGGAGCCGTTTGGGGGCCTCTCGGAGCATCTTCTGGGGCCTCTTCGTGGGGCCTCCAGGGGGCCTCCGTCGGGAAGGGGCTTCTTGGGGGTCGTTTGGGGGCCTCTGGGAGCCTCTTTTTGAGCCTCTTGGGAGCCTCTTCTGGGGTCCTCCTGGCTTCGCGTGTCGGTAAAACTGCTTTTCCGGGGGGGGGAGGGATGCTCTGCCCTTCTTAGGCTGGGGGCGCGACCTCACCGACGTGCACCAGGGCGCCGCCGCGGACCTCGCGGATCCCCCGGGCCTCGGCGGGGGCGCCCCCGCCGGCGCCGCGCCCGCGGCGCCGCCCGCGGGCGCGGCCGGCGCCGCCCCGTCGCTCTCGGGCTCCTCCTCGGGCTCGGGCGGCCCGGGCTCGTGCTGCTCCAGGCGCTCCTCGCGCGGCTCGCGCTGCTCGGGGCGCTCGCCGCGGTCGGGCGGCCGCGGGCCCGGGCGGCGGCGCCGCCGCCTGCGGCGGCTCCCCTCGCTGCGCAGCGGGCGCGGCCCGCGGCGGTCGCAGTCGTTGCGCGGGCCGCAGCGGTCGTGCTCGCGCCGGAGCGGGCGCGGCCGAGGGCGCTCGCGCTCGCCCGGCGTGCCGCGCAGGGCGCAGGTTGCGGGCCCGCCGGGCCGCTCGATGTCGCCCTCGGAGAGGCGGCGGGTGCGGGCGCAGTGCCTGATCAAGAAGCGCCAGCTGTGCCGCTTCTTCGCCAGGGACGCCTGCGCGAAGGGCGTCTTCTGCATCTGGGCCCACGGCGAGGCCGAGCTCGAGCTGGCGGCGCCGCCGTCTGGCCCGTGCGCCCGGAAGACGAGGCTGTGCAGCCACTACGTCGAGGGCTGGTGCGCCCAGGGCAAGCTGTGCCCGTTTGCGCACGGCTCGGACGAGCTGCGCAAGGACCCGAGGGACAAGTCCGCCCAGCGGCCGCAGCAGACGGGCGCGTGGCTCGGCCGGCGTCACGACCTGGACGCCGCTGTGATGATGGCAGCCGGCCCGGAGAAGCTGGAGCAGCTGACAGACGTGCAGAGGTTGGAGAAGCTGACCGACGTGCGCCCCAACGCCAAGAAGCGCGCGGCGCCAGCGGCGTTGGGGCAGGGCAGGAGGTCCTCGAAGCCCACAGCACGCCACACGCATGGGCTTCGGGAGGTCCTCGCAGATCTCTTGCGTCGTCATTGGGCCCTCTGCCCTGGCTCGCGAGACGCGGCAGGGGCGGCGCAAGAGGCGCCGCCAGGGGGGGGGTCCAGCGCCGACCCAACACAGTCGGGGCGCTGACTGAGGAACCTTTTTCGTTGGGGAGGGGCTCGGTGTTGATTGTTTCAAAGTTTGCCTCGGGTTTTCCTGAGGTTTTCCATGGGAAATCGAGGTTGAACTTATGGGAAAAAGGGGCCTCCTTCCTTATTTAGGGTTCCTTAGGGCAACGCCTCGACTGTCGGTCTGCGCGGACGTCCGGAAGTCGATGCTCACGGCGTGCTGCGGTCTTCCAAGGAGATCCCCTTCGCGCGGGAACCTCGGGTCCTCGGGGGAGGCCGAATGTAGCCCTGCGCAGGCGTGGAGGGGCCCTTATGGGGCGCCAAGAGGCCAGTGCTGGGCGCACGCCGTGGCCCCGTCGACGCGGGGAGGGTCAGTTGCACGCTGGTCGTTGAGAATATGTATTCTTAGACTCCCAGATCCAAGTCTGCTTCACGCGCCCTCCTGCTTCAAGAATCGACATGCTTCTGCTGTGTGCTGTTATGCCCTGGGAGCGCTTGGACCCAGTATACTTGATCCGCCTTCCGATGCCATGCTTTTGCCTGCTTCTTCCAACCGACGTGTAAGGTAAGGACAACCCTAAGTGTAAGTCGGGCGTGTCTCTCTACAGGAGGAATATGCAAAAATAAGATAAAAAAAGGTCTGGCGACAATGTTTCCACTACTTTTGATGATGCTTTGATTACGTGTTTGATTATTCTTCATTTTTCGCCCGAAATCCGCCTGTAGGAGGACATGCCCGACCTACGTAACCCTAGGTTTGGGAGGGGCGCCGTGCGTGGGCTCTCCGCCTCGGGCTGCTTTTTGTTGTTCGGCTTGCCCTGCGCTGGGGCTCGCGTGCCCTTACCCCGCGCCCCTGGCGGCCACGTGCTCGCCGGCGCGTCGCCCCGGGGGAGGCGGGGCGGTTCCTTTGGTCAAGCAATGGCGAAGCGTCCGGGCTCGTTTATTGGCCCACCAAAGAGTGTTCTGAGAACCTTTTGTGGTCTGCACGAGGTGATCTTAGAGCATGTCTGGCTGGGACTGTTTTGTTTTAACACATCGGGCTAATATTCTAGGAACACTGGCTTCTGTTGTTAAAACAGTTTGGGATTCTAAGAAAATGTCGTAGTTGGCCTAAAGGAATGCCGGTACAGTCGGTCCCTGCTCAATTTGGCATCGATCGGGCGTGTGCATTTTTCCCGGCCTGGACCATCGAAAAACATCCTGGGTCCGACCGTATTTGGCTTGCGATCGTCTGCTGACGAGCCCAATGAGGGTGCGCATCCAATCCTCCTCCCTCATCCTTCTCGATGTCCTTATCTCTCACCCCTCCTCATTCGGAATCTTGCGGGGGGGCGCGCCTCAAAAAACTCTAGTGGGTCCTCGCCGGTGGTCCTCCCTCGTGGGCTCGAAGGCGTGGGTCATCTTGCGGAAAATAAGCGCGCGAAATCGAAAAATGGATGGGGCATGGACGTCCGAGCGATGGCGAGTTCCCAGACCCCCGACGTCATGACTTGTTCACAGCGTGGGCCCCCAGAGGTCTCGACCCGTTACCCAGAATTGGCTTCTCGTCCCGAGTATGTTTTTCAGATGCCAGGGGCTTGGCGAGGCCCAGAGTGGCTCAAACCTAGCCGTCGGGGCTTTTTTCCCCAACCATCTTGTGGTGTTATGTCCTCGTTTTGAAGAGACAGCACCCCGCGTCACTCCTCCTCCTCCCCCTCCTCCCTCCTCCCATCTCTCCCGCGTCCCATCCGTCCCTCTGCCCTCCGAATGTCAACCATTCCGGCATACCCCTCACACGCTTCGTGGCCCCATAGGGAGCTCCACCGAAGGCCCCAGTGGCAGCTCCCGCAATCAGTTACACCCCAATTCTAGACGCTTCGCGTAACCCCACCATCCCATCCAGAAACGATGCCCAGAGGAATTGCCTCGATCAGGGAAGTGGACAGCACACAGAGAAATTACGAACATAAGAGCCTCGTAGGATGCCTCTTGGGATTGTTTTGGAGGCCTCTTGGAGCGTCTGGAGGGCATATTGAGGAGGAGGAGGAGGGCGAGCAAAAAGGCAAGAGGTCGCTTGAATGACTTTCGGAGCCTCTTGGGATATCTCTTGGGCGCTTCTTGGAGGCATCTTGGGACGTCTGGGGGTTCTCTTGGCGGTCCTGGGAGGCTCTTGGGCGTCTTGAGTGCCTCGGGGGGGGGGGCCTCTTGGGGACGCTTAGGGCCCTCTTGGGGCCCTCTTGAGGGCCTCTTCGGGCCATCTTGGGGCCATCTTGGAGCCATCTTGGCGCCACTTGGGGCCTCCTGGGTGCCTCTTGGGGCCATCTTGGAGGAGATCGATCAAAGAAGAGGGGTTCCCTAATTCTAGACGCTTCGCGTATCCCCACCAGCCCGTCCAGAAATGAGTCCCAGGGGAGTGGAGGTTATGAGGGAAGCGGGGGAGCATGCAGAAAAACAAAGGGCGGGGTGAGCCGCCATATACCCCAAGAGGGGGAGGATGTAGGAGGAGCCGTCGTCGTCGGAGTAGGAGGAGGAAGAGGAGGAGCAGGAGGAGGAGCAGGAGGAGGAGGAGGAGGAATAGAAGGAGGAGGAGATGGAGGACTGCGAGGACGAGGAGGACGAGAAGGAGGAAAAGGAGAAGGAGGAGGAGGAGGAGGAGGAGGAGGAGGAGGAGGAGGGGGAGGAGGGAGGAGGAAGAAAAAGAGGAGGAGGAGGAGGAGGACAATTGCGAGCTTGGGGGCCTCTTGGGCCGTCCTTGGGGCCTCGTGGCGGTCCCGGGGGCTTCTTGCGTATCTCGGGGAGCCTCTTGGGGGTGTCTTGCGGGCCTCTTGGAGGCCTCTTGGGGGCATCTTGGGGCCTCTTGGGGCCCTCTTGGGGCGCTCTTGGGGCGCTCTTGGGAGCCTTCGAGGCGCTCTTGGGGCCATCTTGGAGGAGATCTATCAAAGAAGGGGGGTCCCCAATTAGCGCTGCCCCTCTAGAGTGCCTCGAGTCGCCTCTTGGGCCCCCCCAAGAGGCCAAAATCCTTCCAAAACCTAGGTAAAATCAATGTTTTTTGTTTTCTCGCCTTTTCGCTCTTGGACCCGTCTTGGGAGCCTCTTGGGCCTCTTGGGGGTCTCTTGGGAGCCTTTTGGAGGCCTCTTGGGCGCCTCTTGGGGCCTCTTGGGGCGCTCTCGGGGCGCTCTTGGGGCGCTCTTGGGAGCCTTCGGGGCGCTCTTGGGGCCATCTTGCAGGAGATCGATCAGAGAAGAGGGGGTCCCCAATTAGCGTTGCCCCTCTAGAGTGCCTCGAGTCGCCTCTTGGGCCCCCCAAGAGGCCAAAATCCTTCCAAAACCTAGATAAAATCAATGTTTTCTGTTTTCTCGCCTTTTCGCTCTTGGAGCCGTCTTGGGTCATCTTGGACTCTCTTGGGGCCTCTTGGGGGTCTCTTGGCAACGTCTTGGAGGCTTCTTGGGGGCCTCTTGGGGTCTCTTGGGGCCCTCTTGAGGCGCTCTTGGGGCGCTCTTGGGAGCCTTCGGGGCGCTCTTTGGGCCATCTTGGAGGAGATCTATCAAAGAAGGGGGGGGTGCTTATTAGCCCCGCCCCTCCAGAGTGCCTCGAGTCGCCTCTTGGGCCCCCCCAAGATGCCAAAATCCTTCCAAAACCTAAGTAAAATCAATGTTTTGTGTTTTTTCGCCTGTTCGCTCTTGGAGCTGTCTTGGGCCATCTTGGACGCTCTGACACCTCGCGACCGGCCCCGTCCAGGTCAGTGGGGAGGGGTAAGGGGAGGGGTAAACCCCTCCCCGAAGGGGAAGAAGGGGGTTGGCAGAGGAAACTCCCTAGACCACCTACGCCCTAAAGGGCTGGTGGGATTCGCGCCCCCCCTCGGGAACCTCCAGAATCGCCTCCTGAACCCCTCTTGGGGCGCTCTTGGAGCGCTCTTGGGCGCTCTTGGGGTCGTCTTGGGGCTCTCTTGGGCCCCTGTTGGGGCTCTCTTGGGCCCTCTTGGAGCCATCTTGAGGCCTCGGATGGCCATCGGAAGCGAAAAAGCGAGAAGGCAAAAATCATTGGTTTTCCTTAGGTTTTTGAAGGATGTTGGCCTCTTGGGAGGCCTCCGTGGCCACTTGGAGTCGTCTTGGGGCGGTCTTGGGGCTTCTTGGAGCATCTTGGGAGCCATCTCGAGCCATCTTGGGGTATCTTGGGCCATCTTAGAGCATCTTGGGCTCTCTGAGGCCCTCTTGGAACCATCTTAGGCCATCTTGGACGCTCTAACTACCAGCGCCCCCCCCGTCCAAGTCCAGGGGAGGAGGTTAGGGGGAGGGATAAACCCCTCCCCGAAGGGGAAGAAGGAGGTTGGAAGAGGAAGCTCCTTAAACCACATACGCCCAGAGGGCTGGTGGGATTTCGGTGCACCCCTCAGACGTTTCGTGGCCCCGTAGGGCGCCCCACCGAAGGCCTCAGAGACAGCGCCCACATGCTGTTCCACCCTGAATTTCAGCACACCCCTCACACGGTTCGTGGCCTCATAGAGAGGCCCACCGAAGACCCCAGTGGCAGCGCCCGCATGCAGTTTCATTCTCCATTTCGGCACACCCGTCACACGGTTCGTGGCCCCATAGGGAGCTCCAGCCCCAGTGGCAGCACCCGTATGCGGTTCAATCTTCCATTCTGGTGTTTGTTTCACACATTTCTTGGCCCCATGGGGAGAGATGCCAGCGGCAGCGCCCTCCTGCAGTTCCACCCCAATTACGGCACACACCCCTCACGCGTTTCGAGGCCCCATAGGAAGTCCCACCGAAGGCCACTTGGCAGCGCGCGCATGCGGT